TCAACGTTTGTAATGGCTCAGCCATTCCCAATCCTTATTTAACCCTGAGTTGATTGTGTCTAGTTTGCATATCAATTCCAGCTCAGCAGTCTCTCGTTGGAGTCTGTTTTTGAAGTTTTTCTGTTTTAAGATAGCCACCCGCAGGTCTGTCAAAGAATGGCCAGACAAGTTAAAGCGTTCTCCCACTGGTTTTTGAGTATTATGATTCCTGATGTCAGATTTGTGTCCATTAATTCTTTTGCGTAGAGACTGTCCGGTTTGGCCAATGTACATGGCAGAGGGGCATTGCTGGCACATGATGGCATATATCACATTGGTAGATGTGCAGGTGAACGAGCCCCTGATGGTATGGCTGATGTGATTAGGCCCTATGATGGTGTCACTTGAATAGATATGTGGACAGAGTTGGCATCGGGCTTTGTTACAAGGATAGGTTCCTGGGTCAGTGTTTTTGTTCAGTGATGTGTGGTTGCTGGTGAGTATTTGCTTTAGGTTGGGGGGTTGTCTGTAAGCGAGGACAGGTCTGTCTCCCAAGATCTGTGAGAGTAAAGGATTATCTTTCAGGATAGGTTGTAGATCTCTGATGATGCGCTGGAGAGGTTTTAGTTGGGGGCTGAAGGTGACAGCTAGTGGTGTTCTGTTATTTTCTTTGTTGGCCCTGTCTTGTAGGAGGTGACTTCTGGGTACTCGTCAGATCTAAGTACCCCTACTCATATCTACTGTATGTTGCTGCTCTACTCTGGCTCTAGCTGGTGATGAGTTGTGCAGCTGTGGAATCAAGGATAATTGCAGGTTTAGCATAGCGGTGCTAGAGGAAAAACATACAAAAAACATACTACAGAAAATAGCCTCGCCTTGATGGTGACCTCGCCTTGATGGGCACCATCACCAGAGCAGGAAATGGGGAGCCTGGAATTGAAAATATGGAACAGAGAATTTGTTTTTCCTTCTTTTTGCAAAATCAGACAGACCTTTTAAACCCACCACTGACTCAACTAGCGCTCTGTTCTGGATCATTTCTAGGCTGCAAAACCCTTTCTAAATAGGAACATCTATGTTGTTGAGTTCACATGGAGGTGCTAAGTGGGCAGTAATTGGCTGTCCAGCCAGCCCGTGGCATTTGAGGCAGAAATTACATTTCAGTGTGAAACTAGATGTTTAACCTCTGTGCACCAACACAGGTCTCAGACTTGCTAAGAGAGACTCCCTATCACAATGAAAAACATTCCTTTAGTTATATGGTTAAAAAAGGAAAAGGCCCCACATCACTTGTTTCCAAGACAACAGGAAAAGTTGCCTGCAATATTTCAACTCATCAACCCTGAGAACAATCTGATAGTTACATACAGACAAGTGAAGAAATAGCAAAATGGATGCAATTATGTTACATTTTCTTGTCTTTGAATGACTGAGAGGAGTGTATGATGAGATTTCCTTATTATCCTTTCTTTTCCTCTACAAGTGGCATAGGTAATTAGTAGGCTTGGTAGAATTCTTTTTTTTTATAATTTTGAAGATATTATTTTTAAGCATTCTTTCAGTTCTTATCAAATAAAATTTTCACAACTTGTGCACAATTATGGGTTTTAAGTATTTTTTCTACTTTTATTGATTTAAATTTTCACAGTCCTGGGAAATTATGGGGGAGGGGTCAGATAATGGGAGACGGTCAGACAGTAATTATTTAATGACAGTAGATGTTGAAATTCAAAAAGCTAAAGCTTTATAACTGTTAAACAGAAATTATCAACATCCCATCAAAATATACAAAGTAAATAGCCTTAAATCAAATTCTGCTAAGTTCTTAAGGAGCATTTTTCTTTGTAAATTTCAGTTAAGGATGGAAATTGTGGTGAAATTGACATTTACTAATTAAAAAACTAATTTTTCCAAGGCTAGCCATTACTGAAGAGAAACACCGCTACATAACATGTCTATCTAGAGTAGATGTGTAAACCCTACTTTTTTAGGGTCTCTTTATTTCTAAATTTACCTTGATCAAAAAATATTCTATAATGTGTGCAGCAAATTAAATCTGTTGGTTCCTTGACCAACAGTTATTGACAGTAACATTTTACAGTGTATATAGTTACATTTTGAACATGAAGGACAAACGAAATGAGTCAGGAATATTATATCATCAATTTCAATTTGTCACCAAATTATAAAACACTTTGGCATGAGTGATCTATTATAGGTCTTAATCTGCAGTGTTAGGGTATATCTACACTGGAAACTTCAAAGTGCTGCCATGAGAACTCTCCCGCGGCAGCGCTTTGAAGTGCGAGTGTGGTCGCGCGTGAGCGCTGCAGAGAGCTCTCCCAGTGCTCCTGGTAATCCACCTCCACGAGGGGATTAGTTCTGAGTGCTGGGAGCACGGCTCTGTTGCTCGGAGCCTGTCTACACTAGCGCTTTAAAGTGCTCAGACTTGCTGCGCTCAGGAGGATGATTTTTCACCCCCCTGAGCCAGCAAGTTAGAGCACTATAAAATGTAAGTGTAGACTAGCCCTTAGAATTCATCAAGGAACTGAATCAGTCTCTTGAAGGCAGGTTTGTTCAAAATTCAGACCTCTTCACCAGCTTAATGTGGTTCTTCAGACAGCAATACTATACATATAGGATTTCACACCTCTTTCAACCAGCGATTGCATTGTGCTTGTAGGCAGCAATTCATCCCCAGCTGTTCATCACGGAGCAAGTTGAAATGAATAAGCTGTCTGAGTGTGATAGTGGCAGCTCTTACATGCATACAGACATCCTGCCCTGTCTCTGCTTCGCTCAGAGCAGGTGTGGAGCAAAGTAAATATAAAAGCACACAATAACAAAACATAATGGGAGACAGGAGAACAGATGAAAGAGAAAAGGAAAATAAATCTTACAAAGGGTTCAGGAAAAACAGTAAGAGGAGAAGATAGGAAAAGATTGTAAAAGAGACAAAAGGGCACAGGGTAAAAGAAATTTAGACGTTTATGATTGTGATGGAGGCAGGTATAGTGTAGTGTTCAGGAGGCTGCCATGTTGGCACAAGTTATACAGTGGGTAATAGAATACAGTCAACAGTAGAGGGCATTGTACTAACATAATACAACATTGCATTCCGTCTCCTTGAAATGCCACAGCAGCTAGAGGCATCAGTCTGCCTGCCCTATTAGCATCAGGAATAGTTCTCCAGTGTTGGGTAGTGCTGTGCGCATGAGTGATACCTGCCCTCCAGCTGCTCCTCAGTAGTTAGTGCCCCAGCCTCTGACCAAATGGAATTCTTTCTTCCCAAGGTAGTTTTTGGGCCTTTTCCAGGCTTAATTGCTAGAGGGTGCTGAGGCCTTCTCTCCTCCCCTCATTGGGGAGTAGTTCAAAACCAAGTTAGAGGCCGAGGAGACATGTCCTCAGGAAAAATGACAACTCTGTCCTGCAGCACACTTTCTCCAGCAGGCATCTGGCCTTCATGCTCCTTGGGAGAAAGGGAAGGGTTGGCCTCCAAGAGGATGTTACAGGAGTAGCTAGGTGTATCTGGGCAGGTGAGGTTCCTACACTTTGAGGTGATGAGAGTTATGGGGCCTTCCCTGTATTGCTGCCCGTGGCAAGCCTAGACATCCAACAACGGCTAGCCTGAGCCAAGCCTAATCTGTTCTAATATAACACAAACTAATAGGCTATTCATTAAAATCAGATTGTGTGTCCTAGTTGGTGCCCAGCTTTTCGTGAATATTGGTTTTAATACAGTAGTTACTGACTTGCTGCTTTAACATAAAGAATTGCTTAAGTATTTTCATTTTGGAACGATTGTAGTCCTGTGGTTAGAACAGGAGACTGGGAGCCCCCAGGTTCTTTTCCCAGCACAGCCACTGACCTGCTGTATGACTGTGGGCAGGTTACAACCACTATGCCCTGGGTTACATGCATGTGAAGTGTCAGTGTGTCCCATGCTTACACTCAGTGGTGTTTTGAAATTTAAGGTTTGCAAAGCATTTGAAGGTGCCGTCTAAGCATAACATAACTTTGGAAATAATCACTTAAGTATATTTAACATCCTAACTTATTTTGTATTTAACATATTGTGATGTGGAGTGCGTAAGGCTCTGATTCAGGAAGATGCACTCACAACTTCTGCAATATACCTTTGTATAACCGTCACTAAAAATGCACAACCACAAAGAGTCAAGTGTCGGTGCTTGGTATTGTCAGGGTAATACACTAGGACTGAAATTCTGGCTCCATTGAAGTCAATGGCAAAACTCCCATCAACTTCATTCCTTCAGAGGTAATATTAGTTCTCTTTTTGTAATTTGTTTTGAGCCTCTACTGTGACTCCTGTTTTCCTACCCAAAGAGATTCAAGGTAAGTTCATATTAAGGTGACTCCAGTAAATAAACAAATGACTCTATATAAACAAAATCCTGCATAAAAATATTTTTGCACATTTGAGAACATAGTGAAACTATTTTAGTATGAATATTTTATATATTGTTATGTAAAAGTAAATTCCAGAAACTAGCAGCTAACTGGAATCCTCATTAATGCTGATCTGGCATCATTAGCTCTCAATAGATCATATTGTTAATCTGATTGTTTTGGAATACAAAATAGAAACATTGTAATATTCTAACCAAGCAAGGGTACAATAATTCTGGACCAGCTATCCCCCTGCCTCTTACCAGATTATTAATTTAATTAATATCTGTAAAGCACTTTAGAAATAAGAATTAAGCACAGTGTAGTGCTAAGTACATATTAATTACAATGGTTTATGATGGCACCATAATCCCTTAGTATATTTAGAGCTTTGTGTTGTGTGGTTCAGTCTTTATTACTCTTTTTACATAGAAAAGTGACGTAAAGCAAAACAAGCATGTTCCCTTTTTTAACAAGGTACCAAACTGTAGCCTGGGTGCTCAGATCCCATGATAGTGAGCCAGTGTAAATACCTAGCTAAATAGATTTAAATTTTGGTTATTTAATTTTATGTCTCTAACTTTTTGTAACCTTGTAACTTTGTTTCTTAGTCAAGTTCAGAGTCCCTGTTGGATTCCCAGCAAATCCAGGCTTTTGACCAACTCTGTCGACTCTATCGAGGAACCTCCAGGGTAAAGTATCTTCATCTCTTCTTTTTAATTGGTGAATCAAATTGTACACAACTCTGTGCCATCAGTTGGAGACAGCAGTCTGGATGCCGACTCTTCCCAAGAGCTTCTTTCAATGTTGCTGCAATATGGAAAGATAAGGTTTATTAAATCAAATTCTGATCTTTTTGGAGCTTATGTAGGCAGGGTCTTCCACCCTTGAGAGAGAGGCAAAATTTCCCACAGACTGCTATCACCTTCAAATCCATTCTGCATTTAAGTGCCCTCACCCTGTTTTCAAACTTACCAAAATTCAAATACACACATTACCACAATAAAAAATATTAACATCTAAACTCACTTCAAAACAGTGTTTTGCCATATAAAATCCTTCTGACAATTGCAATTATTCCAGGGTCCTTGCGCTAATTTAAGAGGGTGTCGTGTGTGTACACGCACAAAATATAGGCACAGCTCACCCCGCTAGATTGCGTTCTGTCTTTCACATACTTCTTCCGGGGAGGGGCTATCCATCTAAAATGAGGTACATTGCATAGAGGGTGAAGGTGAGACACCGTCCCCCTCCCCCCCCCCCCCCTCCGCTTGATCAGTGTGTAGGAACATAGGATTACCATACAGCAATAGTCCTGTTCTGGACAGTGGCCAATGTCACATGGCTCAGAGGAAAGGTATAAAATCTTCAAAACAAGTGTCAGTGAGCAATACTACCCAACAGAGAGACTCCTTTCTGCCTCCAGCTAGTGATCAGCTCATACTGTGAATCAGGAGGGTGAAAATCCCTTGTAACTTTGTCCTTGCTGCCATTGCTATTCTCATTGTGGCATTGTGAGCACTTTCTCTGTAGTTAAGGGTTCAGCCAGGGTTTCATACTAATCTGTTTGGCCTCAGTAATATCCTGCTGCAATGAGTTTCACAGCTAACCTTACAGTGGGTGAGACTGTATCCCCTTTGTCTTAAACTTGTATCAGTGTTACTTGAATATCTTGTAAAAGGAAGGGGAGAGGTGGAGGGATCCCATACTGTCCATGCGCGCACGCACACACACCCTTTAAAAATAAATGCTTCCCTAAAGATTGCTCAGGCCTTTGTGTATTTAGTGGTGTATTTCTTTTGTCTTGCAGTTAGCTCTCCTGACAGAATTGTCTCGAACTCGTGGTGGTGAAAAACATGGGCTCCTCAATGTCTCTCAGGGTGATCCTGCACTGAACAGTGTCTTCCAGAACGAGAATTTCCAGCTGCATCTCGCTCCCCCTCCACTGACAGAAGAGTAGCCCTTCCCTTGCCAGACCATGGGTGCAGTCCTTCCATGGTTGCATAAGAACATTCTGGGGAGGCTCCTACCGTCGATCCCGGGGGGTGAGTTTGTTGGCTATGGGACCTGCCCTACTAGGCTGGATTTGCTGCCCATTGCTATCATATCCTTCCCAGAATCCTTTGTAACATGTCACTTTGTGTCAGATAGTTTTGCTGGGTTTGTAACCAGGTGGAATCTGTAGTAGTCTCTCTGCTGGCTTATTTTCCTCTGTTTCTTCTAACAAAACAGAAGGAACATCACAGAGATCACTGTCAGAGTTCTTGTCCAGTGGGATGCACTGAAAGCTATAAACTATGATGTCAACTCCATGTACTTCACTCGAGCCAAACACAGGAAGTGGAGGCAGCTGTACTAACCCCAGGGTGACTGTGTCTGCAGCCAAAGCTTATCCAAATAATTGGAACCTATAATATGTTCATTTTTATTCCTTAGATAGATTGACCAAGGGAATACAGAACATGTCACATATCCAAACTCAGCATTTCTCAAAATGCCTCCTCAACATTATAAGGGAAATAGCTAATTTATTTGAGTTTAAATTTAGTATCAGTAAAAATAATCTTTTAGACAAATCCCTAACCCCCTCAGGATCTCCTGGATTATAAGCAAAGTGGGTGGTATGACTGCATGAAACACACTTAGCCCTTGAAAGGAGCTGAAACTGCAAAAGAGCGTATATTTGTGAGTAAATGAACTTGTGTGCAATGCTTCTGTGAAACTACATTCTCTAATAAAAATGCCCTGCCTTTAAACCCTGCAGTCCTGGTAAATGTCTGTATTTAAACTGTGCTCTAGGAGCTGGTGGAGGGGTTACTGTGATAGATGCAGCTCTGTAATCTATCACAGTAGATTACTGTGCCCTCACCCTGGGCACAGTAATCTACTCAAGAATTCCTCTTCTCCTAACTACCATTAATCAGGAATTCTAGTGGCAAGAGAAACATAGCAATTTACCATTCAGCAAACTTGGCAGCCACGAACTACTAAGTCAAGCTTATGCGTATGAGCTAGTAGCTGTTCTAGTGGGTTCCACAAACATTTTTCTGTTTCCAGTTGGGTGGAAGGAAATATAAAGTAAATGCATATGGCCATTCTGATGGGATCCCTGGGTTGCAGCCTGGGACTGTGGGACCACTGTGCCCCCCTAACTCTCCTGCCTGGTCTGTCTCTCTCAATGCTTTGCTAGTGAGAAGCAGCAAACCCCTCCAGGCACTGTTACCACTCAGCACAACTGCATGTGGAGCCCCACACCAAGCTATATTGCATGAATGCTCCCAGAGCCACTCATAAATCACACAGCAAAAGGCACCAGCCGAATCCCCCCAGCTCACAGCCTTGTACCTCAGGAATATACCGTCCTGCACTGCTCAAGACAAGCAGTGCAAATTTATTATTTGGTTCACCACTTCATCAATGGAAAGTGGATATATACCAGCCTTTGTAAACCTGAGCAGATTTACCAAACACTTCAAGCAAGCTCACTGGTAAAGATAAACAGTTAAATAAATGTATTGACTACAAAAGATAGATTTTAAGTGATAAGTCATAAGCAAAAAGTCAGAGTGGTTACCAAAAGAAAAGAAAATATAAGCACGCAGTCTAAACTCTCAACCCTATTAAACTGGGCAACATCTAGATTAAGCAGTTTTTCTCACCCCACTGGATATTACAGTTCATAGTACACAAGTTTCACCCTTGAAACCTGGGCCAGTCTCCTCTGTTGGAGTCTTCAGTCTTCTGAGTGTCCTTGTTGCTTGCAGCGTAGGTGTGCGAAGGAGAAAGAACACAGTGCCCCCATGCTTGGCCTGTTTTATACCCTTTGTCCATGTGCTTGAGGAGCACAAGTCCAGGCATGTCTGGTGGCATTGCTGAGTCCCCAGGCAAGATTGAGCAATTCCCCTGGTGTGGCCCTAGGCAGGTGAACCTTTGAATTGTAACTCCCTTGCTGGACAATGGCTGTTGATGGTGGTTTGACACCCCACCTGGGCGTTGGTTATGTTCTTTGCTATTGTCTCTGGGAGCTAGTATCTGGCTCATTCCCTAACTTACAGCATGTGTTACTGACGACCATAAAAAACACAGTCTCCTCACTTCATATGTACTAATGATATACATATTTAGATAGAACAGTGACTTTCAGCAGATCATAACCTTTCCCCTGATACCTTATATGGCCTGCTTTATATGCAAGATCACAATTATATATAAATGACGAATATGGTGGTTACAGGGCACTTCGCTGAGGTATAGAGTGTCACAGCCATTATGGTGGTTGCTCCTAAGGCAATGGTCTATGTGTTTATTCCCCTCTCCCTTTTTACTCAAAGTGGCCTGGACATGAGTTAGTCGGAATCTGAGTTTTCAATATTTTTTTCCTTTCCCACATAAGGGTCTAGAACAGCCATTCCTCCCAAGTCCTCTGTGAAAGAGGGTTGTAGTGCAGATGGAGTTGATGACTTGACAGTGTTGAGGATTGACCTCCTATGTATCCACAAGAAAAGTAATTCTCAGGTGGCAACACTGCAGGCACCTGAACATCACTCCTGTGGCACTGGATTCCTCTCCTGGAGGGTGCACACTAGAAGCAAGTGGTCAGTTCATGCTCCATGCAGATCTCTCTGCTAAGGCTGTCCATTTCCATGGGTAGCAAGGGTGGATTTTGTTTTTGCGAACCCCTGTCATAATTTGTAATGCCTCCCCTGGTTTTGTTCAACTTTACAGTATTTTTAGAATCCCAGCAAATGTTTCATTCTACACGGAACTCCCAGCCATTAAACCCTCCAACAGCGTTCTACAGCATGGGCCCCAACCCTGCACTTGGAACAGGGTGTGTGGCGTGAACTATTATGGAGGTCCCCAGATGAATGGCTGGAGTTTTTACGTGAATCACACTAACTGCTGCACTGACTGGGCCAGCACTGAAGGATACTGCAGGATATAAAGCCCCAGCTCAATGTACATAGGACACTAACCAGCCCAGAGGGCTGGACCTGAACTGGTAGTTTGATAGAATTGTATTTATAAAGTGCTTCACTTCCCCAGCTGAGGGACACAGGGTACTACACAGTGACCATATAAACGCTGCCACTTAGACAATACCAGTCCTAGTAAAATCCCTGGGCCACCTACGCACTGTGCCTCTACCTCCATACTATTACTGAAAGAGCCTTTTACCCAAACCATCACGTTGTGCTGGCTGCCTGTAGTGGTGCCAGGTGGGTGCACTGTGATCAGGCTGCATTTAGTGCATATGCTGCTGGATTCTGCACATGTTGCATGTGGCAGTGAAGCCCTGTGGAAAGGGAGTTCAAGTGATTGCTCATATCAATTCCAAATAGGTGTGCGTGCGTTGCGTGCACGGCCGCCAGAAAGTTTTCCCCTAGCAGCATCCGTCGGGTCGGCTGTGAAGCCCCCTGGAGTGGCGCCTTCATAGCATTCAATATATGACCCTGCCAACCCGGCACCTCCTCAGTTCCTTCTTACCACCCGTGACGGTCGTTGGAACTGTGGTGTCTTGCTTAGTGAGTTCTCCACGTTTCCCTAGCTTGTTTTATAGTCGTTCTTATAGTAGTTATTTTTTCTTTAATTCTTGTAGTTTATTTTTATTGTAGTTAGTAGCAGTTGGGCTGGGGGGGTTTACCCTCCGTCCCGACCACTTTTCCTTGGGAGGGCTTTCATGCCCAAGTCTCCAGGATTCAAGCCCTGCAAGTCCTGCTCCAGGCCCATGCCAAGGGGCGACCGATAGGTGCAAGATTTGCAAGGGGTTTTGTCCTAGGACCAAGACTTTCACCTTAAGCAGCTCCTTATGGAGGCGGCACTTAGACCCCAGCCTCCTTCGGCGTGGCAGGACCCAGCACCGAGTTCTTCGGTGCACAGTGCCCCAGCGGCGGCGGTGGAGGCGGCATCGTGGATGGACACTGGCCGAGACCCGCAGCACCGCTGCTCCCCGGCACCAAAACCGGCGGCATCGACCCAGCACCGCTCCCACTCCCCGGCGCCAAAGTGGCACCGGAAGCAAGAGAAGAGTAGCTCTCCATCCCAGAGACCCATCCCCCTGGAGCTAGCCAATGTGGTGCATCCCAGAGCGGAGTGCCCAGGGCCAAAGCCTGTGGACATGGCACCATAGATTTCAGCCCCACAAGGGGAGCCGTCAAGTCCAGTGCCAATGGACTCCCCAACCCACAGCATCGAGGAAGTTCAGCTGCCATCCACCCCGGACACCTTTGCGGCCACGAGGGACCTCATCGCCATGACGGCACTGAGGTCTCCTCTGATCCATGCCAAGCCTCCAGTACCACAGCGTATGGCACCGTCTCGAGGCAAGCCGGAGGTGATCCGGCCGTCAGCACCATTGGTCAAGTCCCAGCATTGCTCCCTGTCATGGCGCCAGCCGTACTCACGGCGCTGGTCAGACTCGCAGCCTCACTCCAGATTGCACCAGCGTTCCCGATCACGGCACTGATCCGCATGCCAGTCACTTTCGAGGAGCTGGTCCCGGACCCAGCAAAAGTCCCAGCGCCGCTCAACATCCCAGCATAGCTCCAGATCGGGTAGCGTTCTAGGTCACGTCACCGCTCCCCAGCCTCGCGCCACTGCTTGCCGGCTCAGCTCTGCTCAGCATCACCCTGGCCCTCGCAGTCCCAATCCCATTCCTAGGTACTTGGAGTGGGACTGGCACTGGTCAGGCTGTGGACGCCTGGCCATGGCCAGCGCAGTGGCAGGGGCCAACTCTGTGGCCATTCTGGACTCCATGGGCATACCACCAGGCCCAAGGTGCGCAGTCTCTAGGTTCCCGGTCGGCTACCTCTGAACCAAGGATGCCGAAGGCCTCCGCCAGTCAGCCCATCCCTAGGGGTGCGGAGGAGGCGCCATGTCCCCACCTCCCCTTCCCCCCCCCCGCCCGAAGCGATTCCAACTCCAGTTCCTGAGGCGGAGGCAATCAGTGAAGCAGTTCATAGGGCTCCCGATGAGCAGGAAAGTCAGGAGGACCCTCTCCCCGCCTTTGGCCTCTTCGTTGTCCTCCCCTGACGAGGCCGTTGCAGGCACCTCCATATCCGGGCCACCCCACCATAGACAGCCATGCCCACCAGGACCTTCTGTGTAGGGTGGCACGCAACATGGGCCTGCAGGCCGAGGAGGTGGTGGAATCAGAGGGAATCGGAGGACCCAGTGGTAGACATTTTGGCCCCAGAAGGTCCGTCGAGGGTTGCCCTGCCCCTCATTAAAACTATTCAGGCCAATGCTAAGACCATTCCCACTACAGCCAAGGGTCTTGAGCACAAGTACTTCCTGCCCTCGAAGGGGTACAAATATCTCTCTACGCACCCACAGCACTGCTCTCTGGTGGTTGCGGCTGTGAACAAGAAAGAGAGGCAGGGGCAGCAGGACCTAGCACCCAAATCAAAAGAGGCCAAGCGACTGGACTTGTTTGGCTGCAAGATGTACTCCATGGGGGTGGGGGTGGGCTCCAGCTCAGGATTGCCAATCAGCACGCAATCCTGAGCCGGTATAACTTCAACTCCTGGAACTCGATGCTCAAGTTCAAGGAGCTTGTGCCATGTGAGTCCAGGGAGGAGTTTGGGGTCATTGTAGGAAAGGGCAAGGCAATGGCACGGACCTCTTTACAGGCCTCACTGGACACTGCAGACTCGGCGGTGCGCACCTTGTCCTCAGGAGTTACCATGAGGCACACCTCCTGGCTACAAGCCTCGGGCCTACCGCCGGAGGTTCAACAGACGATGCAAGAC